CCACCCTGGAGGTATGCCTAACAGCAGGCACAGAGGGTGGAATTTTAGCAACCCAGGAAAGAGGAGAGTTTGACTTCAGGCTCCTGGGTGGGGAGCATCTTCATGATGCCAGCCATCTTAGGGGTCCCCGGATTTAGCAAATGCTTTCTGGTACACACAAGCACTTACACAAAACAAAACTGTTAGCCTGGTGGTGGTGGTGGTGGTGGTGGTGGTACACACCTTTAATCCCAGCACTCGGGAGGCAGAGGCAGGTGGATCTCTGTGAGTTCGAGGCCAGCCTGGTCTACAGAGTGAATGAATTTCAGGACAGAAAGGACTGTTTCACAGGGAAACCCTGTCCTGAAAAACCAACCAAAAAAAAAAACCTAAACTGTTTCCTCCTTATAAGAACCCCATGAGGTGAGAACTGTTAGTGTATCTTCATTTTAAAGACAGTTGGGAGACAGTTGGTGCCAGAGGTGACCAACTTCTGTTACCCTGAGGTCATCTTGTGCTCTTACTTAACCTGTCTGGGAGGCTAATGTTTGTGGAGAATTGAACTGGTAGTTTCTGGTCCATAGTTAGATTGACCCTCGAATTGAAAGCTTCAAAAGTGCCAAGAAGAGGATCCAGGCACGGCGGTACATATTCATCATCCCAATACTCAGTAGACTAAGACAGGAAGATCACAAGTTTGAGGCCAGCCTGAGCTATAGAGTGAGTCCCTGTTTCAAAGAAAAAAAACTCAGCAAATATTTGAGAGTCAGCAAGACGGCTCAGCAAATAAAGCCACCTGTCAACAAGCCCGACAACCCGAGTTTGATCCCCAGAACCCGTCTGTATAGTGGCAGGAGAGAACCAACATAGTATGTGTGCATCCCCCTCTAAATAAAATAATTAATTAAAAATTAAAAAGAAAGGATTTGGAACCATCTTAAGGGCAAGACAAGGTAGACCAAGACTGGGATGATGCTAGACGGCACTGATGCTGTTCCAGCAGGGAATCAAACTTCTTACACCTGTTAGCTTTGGTGTGTTTCTTTTTTGTTTACAGACTATTCATCTCTGTAATCAAGCCCACATAAATAAGACCTTACATTTTTTTTTTTCCTTCGAGATAGGGTTTCTCTGTGTAGCTTTGCGCCGTTCCTGGAACTCGCTTTGGCTGGCCTCGAACTCACAGAGATCCACCTGCCTCTGCCTCCCGAGTGCTGGGATTGAAGGTGTGTACCACCACCTCCTGGCAAGACCTTACATTTTTAATATCGTGTTACCTGTGCAAATGGGGAAAAAATTAATGTTTGTACACCAATATGACTGTTCATGTCTGTAATGCCAACTCAGCAGGTAATTTGGGATACTTTTTTCCAAAGCTGACAGCTAGAAGTTTCCAAGAATTCAATATATATATATTTGTGCATGGGCAAGCATATATATTTGTGTTTGTATAAGAAGATCAATGATAGCAGTATGCTAGGCATCACCAGCAGCAACAGCTCTTCCGGGATCTGCAGTCCTATGAACAAAATTGTAGAGACACCCAGCCCACTCCATTAAAAAAAAAGGGGGGAGGGGGGAGAGATGGCTCAGAGGTTAAGAGCACTGACTACTCTTCCAGGGGTCCTGAGTTCAATTCCCAGCAACCACATGGTGGCTCACAACCACCTGTAATGAGATCTGGTGCCCTCTTCTGGCATGCAGTCATACATGCTGTATACATAATAAATAAATAAATCTTTAAAAAAAAAAAAAAAAAAGCAAAAATTCCCAGGAAACATCAGTTTTGCCACTGTCGGGGTAGCTTTGGCACATTTGAACTTGACTGTGAATGATTTTGTAGGGGCAAGAGACCAAAAAAAAATTAAATCTAAGCCCTACTGGGCATAGGAGGCGAAGGCACAGGGTCAGGAGTTCAGGGCCATCCTCAGCTACTCAGTGAGTTCAAGGCTAGCCTGGGCTATATGAGACCCCGTAGGGAGGAGGAGGAAGAGGAGGATTACGGGGGTGGGGAGTGTGGAGGGGAGAAGGAAGGAGAAGAAATAAAACTTTGACCTAGTCAGAGAGGGCTAGGCATGTAACAAAGAACTGGAACACCATGAGCAAGACCTCGCAGAAACATTAGCGCATCAGACACTTACTATAAAACAACCGAGTTTTGTTGAAAGAAAGAAGCTTAAAAATATCCGCAGGGACAGGAAACTATAAAAAAAAAATGACATACTAGATTTAAGAAGAACATTTGTAGAAAGCTTTACGGTTTAATCAGGGATCAAAACCACAAATACCTGCAGGGGCTAGACAGCAAACAGACATGAGTCAGTCAGGTGGCTGGGTGAGCAACTGGTCACCTGAGCCGTTTGGAGGGCAAGGACTGCTCAGCGCCGGCAGCCGCTGTGTGACCTGGGGGCCCAGTGTGCAGAACTTGGGCTGGCTCTAATGAATCTGGGGTTCTTTTTATGATAGTCCAATTCAGGTAACATCGCACTGACCGTCATAGCCACTTCTCTCCTTTTTCCATTTTTATGAGGCTGTGTGGCCAGCATCTGTGTTTGCATGTGCACGTTTACATGCATGGTATGAGTGCACATGCACATACGTGGGTGTGCACGCACGTGGAGGCCAGAAGCTGAAGCTGGGAATCATCCTCTAGCTACTTTATTTATTGAGGCAGGCTCTCTCAATCAATCCCGGAGCTTACCAGCATATATTCCTTTTATTATTCATGGGTAAATAACCTCACTGTATATAAAGACATTTGCTCACCAATTATTATTTAGATTTAAATTTTTTTATATTTCATTTTGTGTGTGTGTGTGTGTGTGTGTGTGTGTGTGTGTGTGTGTGTGTGATGAGGCAATCAGAACAATTTTCAGGAGTCAGTGCTCTCTTTTCTACAACATGGATTCTAGGATTCGAACTCTTGTCTTCAGACCTGCCTACAAGTACATTTACTAAGCCGTCTTGCTGATACGTGGAATTTTTAATATATCTTATTTTTAAATTATACCCATAATAACTGTGGCATAGCACTTGTCTAGCAATGCAATGCCTAACACTAAACAAAAATTAATTCCCTGGGGCCCAGGCACATATCTGATGGTCAGGCACAGAGGGCCAAAAGTATGAGACTTCTGATTTATGGCGTATTTTCCAACCCAGCCCTCAGAATGGTTCTCTGACATAATTGCTCTACTTTTTTTGTTTGTTTTGTTTTTCGAGACAGGGTTTCTCTGTTCTGGAACTCAGTCTGTAGACCTGGCTGGCCTCGAACTCACAGAGGTTCACCTGCCTCTGTCTTGAGTGCTGGGATTAAAGGGGTACACCACCACAACCTGGGTGTTTGATTTTTTTGTGTGGTTTTTTTTGTTGTTGTTGTTGTTTGTTTCTTTTAAATAATTTCTTTATTCTTATTTTATGTACATTGGTGTTCTGCCCGCATGTATGTCTGTGTGAGGGGGTCAGATCTTGGGGTTACAGACAGCTGTGAGCTGCCACATGGGTGCTGGGAATTGAACCTGGGTCCTCTGGAAGAGCAGTCAGTGCTTTTTTTTTTTTTTTTTTTTTCGAGACAGGGTTTCTCTGTGTAGTTTTGTGCCTTTCCTGGAACTCACTTTGTAGACCAGGCTGGCCTGAACTCACAGAAATCCGCCTGCCTCTGCCTCCCGAGTGCTGGGATTAAAGGCGTGCGCCACCACCGCTTGGCACAGTCCGTGCTCCTAACTGCTGAGCCGTCTCTCCAGCCCCTGATTTTTGTTTTTGAGACAGGGTCTCACTATATAGTCCTGGAGAGCCTGGGACTCCTTACATAAACCAGGCTGACCTTGAACTTACAGAGATCCGCCTGCTTCTGCCTCCCAAGCGCTAGGATTAAAGGAGTGCGCCACCACGCCCGACCATTGTTATTTTTGTTTTTCACACCAGGACCGAGTGTGTAAAATGATACGCCTGGGGGAAAGCCCACAAATGTCTCACTCTCATTTCCCCACTAGCTCTCTCCACCGCCCCCACCCCCACCCCCGCAACGCCCCCGAACTTCAGGGGAGATGCTTGGTAACACCATCAATGAAGTTCCTGGCTGCAACCTGGGAAGTACTTCCTTGACTCAGTTTCCACATCTGTGAAATGACTGGGTGTTGGGCTCGGTCCTCTCCAGGCACTAGCTTGCCCACATTAGGTCATCTCTTTTCCCAGCATCCACCTGGGCAAGCATTCGCTCTGGTCCAGCCGGGTTTAGCCGCAGCTGCACACCCACCTGTCCCTATCCCGGTTGACGGCGGTAGATTCTGCCACCCAGCTCTGTCCTGCGATCGGGGGGCGACAGCCTCTCGAAAAGTCTTTCTGGGCTGGACCAGTCCAGTTTACCTGCTGCTCCCGGTCAGGACCCTGCGCTCCCACCCGGAGCCGTTTCAGATTAATTTGTGGTCCTCCGACATACCCCCGAGAGGTCTATCCGTGACTGGGGCAACTTATCTCCGAGGGAAGGGAAGCCTTGCGGCAATGCCTATTGCCACCGGGCTCGGGCACCTACAACTAGGACCCTAGTTAAAGCATGGTTGAGGCAGACGTCTTAGCTCGCACATTTCAACGAGGCAGCTAGCTAGCTGGCCAGAGCCCGGCGCCTCAACTCTTTCCAAGATCACGAGTCCGGAACCGCCGCCTCCAACTCTGAGAAGTCAAGCGCCCGACCCGAAACTTGCGCGATCGGCGCCCGCGGCCACCCCCAGCCAGGCCAGGGGGCACCCACGGCCTCCAGTCTGCCATCCCCAGGGTGTGTGTCTTGGTGGGGGGGGAGGGGTCCCCACCGCACCTGCGGCCTCCGAGTCGGGGAGTCGGCGCGCGGGCCAGTCCCGCGTGCTGGGAGGTCGGGGTCACCCCCTGATCGTTTCCCTCCTCCCCCAACTCCCCCGGGTGAGGTCCCCGAGGCTCCCCCGGGGAGGGCACTCCTGCCGGCCGCGCCGCTCCCCCTCGCTCTGTGTGCAGCTGCCGCCCGGCGCTTGCGCACTGGGCCCCGGGCGCGCGGCGGCACCAGGCTTTGTGTGTGCGCGTATGTGTGTGAGTGTGTGTCTGTGCGCGAGTGAGAGAGCGGGCGAGTGTGGCGAGCAGGACCCGGCGGGCGCGCTCCCCCAGCCTCTCTCTCCTCTCTCTCTCCTCTCTCTCTCCCTCCCCGCCAGAACCATGTCGGGCAGGTCGGTTCGAGCCGAGACCAGGAGCCGGGCCAAAGATGATATCAAGAGGGTCATGGCGGCTATCGAGAAAGTGCGCAAATGGTAAGCCGAGGCGCCGGCTCGCTCGCTCGCTCGCCCCGGCTCGCGGC